ATGGGGGGGGACCTGGAGAACTGGCCAAGCAACCCCCAAAAGGCACTGGTTGTGACCCGCAGTCAGAGCCGGCGAGGGGACCTGCGCCCTGGCCTTGGGGGGGGTGCCTTGCCTGAGGCGCAGGACCCTAACCTGGTGGGGAGGGAACGCCCAGGGACGCGGCTCAGGGAGGCTGCAGCTTCGGACCCAGCGGGCGAGAAAGAGCAGGTGGCCATCCCTTTCCCAGCTGCTGAGCTCCAGGCCCCGGAACAGAGAGCCCCCTCCTTGCGGAAAATAAGGGACCTGGCCGACCTCAATGCGGTACAGACCATGGAACGAGGTGGCCGGAAAAGGTTCCTGTGGGAGAAGGGGTTCCTGTACCGAGCATGGGCTCCCCCAGGGAAAATGGAGTCAGGTGGGATCAGGAGGCAGCTGGTGGTACCCCAGAAGTATCGCCGCCAGCTGCTGTGCCGGGCCCATGACATTCCCCTCTCAGGGCACCAGGGAACCGTGGCGTACCCAGCAGAGGCTGCTACGGGGCTTTTACTGACCTGGGGTCTTTGTTACTGTCCGACAGTACTGCGGATCCTGTGACCCCTGTCAGAGGGGGAGGAAGGCCTGGGACAAGGGGAAAACAGCTTTAGGACCCTTGCCCAGCATAAAGGATCCTTTCCAGAGGGTGGCCAAGGTTGAAAGGGCGGCTCTAAACCAAGAGAGCCCAAAGCACAGACCTCCAGACTGGAGCTCTGGGAGAAGACCACAGCCCAGTTGGAACCCCAGAGGTATGGGGGTGGGAAAAGGGCACAGGCCGCATAAACCTTCCCACATGCAAACTGCAAGTGCCATCAAGCACCCCGACCTAAGGGGGGGCGTGAAACTGGAGGGGCCTGGTGTAATTCTCACCAAGGAATGGGAGGGATGCGGGGGCATCCATGGGAACGGGGGTAGGTTCGAACTTCCCCAGGTCACTGGCTGAAGTGACCCTGCTCAGTTCGGTCTCGAAGGGGGGAGATGTGACGAACTGGGACTGTTCTTGCTGTGGTGTGTGAATGCTGACAGGGGAGTGTGGCTGGGATGGTCTGCATTGGGGGATGGGAGTCTGCCGGAGGGCGAATACCTGAGCGTGTAACTTGAGAACCCAGGAAGGGGTTGAAGGCCAGGTGACACCTTGGCCCAGGGAAACTGAACAAAGGCTGTGGGAGGGGTCGCTGAAGGCAGAGTGCTGGAAGCGAGCTGGAGAGATGGCTGGGAGGCAGAGATGGCTCTGACCTCCCAAGGGGGGCTGGGCTGGGATGCCCTGGGACCCCAAGCTGGACCTAACTGAGGGGGGCCCTGTTGTCTGTGCCTGCAAGACCTGTCTTGGACTGTATTCCTGTCATCCAAATAAACCTTCTGCTTTACTGGCTGGCTGAGAGTCATGGTGAATCGCAGGAAGCCGGGGGTGCAGGGCCCTGAGTTCCCCAATACTCCGTGACACTGGCCTCCCTGTGTCAGACCCATAAACCCGTCTGGCCTGGTCTCCCCCTACCCTGCTGCCCCACAGCCGCCAGCTGAATTTACACCAGGGATAAATTGTGTCCATGGACAGCAGGGTGGGGATAAAGCTGTGTGCACCTGAAGGTCCAGTTCTCAGCAGAACGAGGACAACTCTGGCTCTCTTTGGGACGTGCCATTGTACAGTTGGGTCGCCTTTGGGGGCTTCAGGGTTCCAGGGTTCTAACCCCACTCCGGGGTGTGTGGGGCTTAGTGGGTTAAAGCGGGGGGGCTGTGGTATTTCTCCAACCCCCCCCCTCAACTTAACTTCCAAAAGGGGAACGACACAAACACGAGGAAGCTAGAAGATTTGTTCTACCAGGACCTTGGCTGTGGCTTTTGCAATATTGGCTTTCAGGGGAAAGACCTCCACCCATTTTGAGAAAAGATCGACAATCACCAAGAGGTACTGGTTGCCTCTTTGGGTCCTCAGTAAAGGGCCTATGAAATCAATCTGCAAAGCCATCCATGGTCCTTCATACACCTGAGATTGCAACGGTGCATTCCTTTTGGATGGGGTTGGGTTGGGCACAAGCCAAACAATTGTCACAGCACTGTTGTACATCCAATCTAAGGAGCGGCCACCATCCCACAGTTAAGAGACGTTGGATTGTTTTGTCCACCCCTTGATGTCCCCCTGTTGGAGTGTCATGGACCATGTTTATCATCTCCCTTCTCCAGGGAGTTGGGGTCCCCCACACGGAGAAGGACCCTCCTGTGTCCATGAGGATTCCATCCACCACCTGTAAAGACTGCCTATATCTCCCCAAAAAGGGTTTAATGCAGG